AACTTCCACTGGAGAATGGACTTCCACTAGCAAAGATCGAATGACCCTGGAGATGAGAAGCCAAGACCGTATCAGAACGATCACTCCGATTCACCGTCCACTAAATAGAATACACCATAACTGCTCATCCCTACATTTGGCTATTGCCTCCCTCCAGTTCAAAACACTGCAGGAAATTTCCCGTATAAAGAAAATTTGTTATCAAGAGAAGAGCATTTGGAGAGGATGCAGTTCAGCAATTTGATGATACCTAATGGCACCTCCACGCATCAGACAAAGCGGTTCAATGAGGTGCATTTTTTAGAAAAGGTTCTGGGACTTTTATTAACTGTGTTTTTTTGCAGGTATAGCAGCAGCTTGTTACATAGTTATTCTGGCTGAAAAAAGACAAAAATCCATCCAGTTCAACCATTAAAAAAAAAAAAAAAAAAGTTATAATCCTACACCCACAGTTGATCCAGAGGAAGGCAAAAAAACCCCCAGCAAAGCATGATCCAATTTGCTCCTGCAGGGGAAACAATTCCTTCCTGATCCCCCGAGAGGCAATCGGATATTCTCTGGATCAACTTTACCTATAAATAAAAGCTTGTGCAAATGAACATGCTGCTTTTCCCATGAGGACAGAGGTCACGGCTGGCAGGGCGGAGGACAGGGGTCACGGCTGGCGGGGCGGAGGACAGGGGTCTCTGCTGGCGGGGCGGAGGACAGGGGTCACTGCTGGCGGGGCGGAGGACTGGGGTCTCTGCTGGCGGGGCGGAGGACAGGGGTCACTGCTGGCAGCGCGGAGGACTGGGGTCTCTGCTGGCGGGCGGAGGACTGGGGTCTCTGCTGGCGGGCGGAGGGACTGGGGTCTCTGCTGGCGGGGCAGAGGACAGGACTCTTAGAAGATCTCCTCCCATCTCTGCACTGCACACAGCCTGGGCACAAGCAGCAGAGCTCCTCCTCCTCTGCCCTCACACAGATAGTTGAGATCAGTATAGTGTCAGACTAAGGCAGTGTAGTGACAGATTAGGGAAGTATATTGTCAGATTAGTGCATCATAGTGACAGATTAGGTAAATATGGTATCATGTAGGGTAGCAAAGTGTCAGATTGGGGTAGTATAGTATCATGTTAGGGCAGTATAGTGACAGATTAGGGTAGCACAGTGTCAGATCAGGGTAGTATAGTATCAGACTAGGGTAGTATAGTGTCAGATCAAGGTAGTATAGTATCAGAGTAGGGTAGTATAGTATCAGACTAGGGTAGTATAGTGGCAGATTAGGGTAATATGGTGGCAGATCAGGGTAGTATAGTATCAGACTAAGGTAGTATAGTGTCAGATCAGGGTAGCATAGTGGCAGATTAGGGAAGTATAGTGGCAGATCAGGGAAGTATGGTATCATGTAGGTTGTATAGTGCCAGATCAGGGTAGCATAGTGTCAGATTAGTATAGTATCATGTTAGGACAATATATAGTGCCAGATCAGGGTAGTATAGTGGCAGATTAAGGTAATATAGTGGCAGATCAGGGTAGCACAGTGTTAGATTAGGGTAGCACAGTGTTAGATGAGGGTAGTATAGTGGCTGATTAGGGTAACACAGTGTCAGATTAGGGTAGTATGGTGTCAGATGAGGGTAGCACAGTGGCTGATTAGGGTAGCACAGTGTCAGATGAGGGTAGCATAGTGGCTGATTAGGGTAACAGTGTCAGATTTGGGTAGTATAGTGTCAAATCAGGGTATCACAGTGGCTGATTAGGGTATATAGTGTCAGATGAGGGTAGAACAGTGTCAGATTTGGGTAGTATAGTGTCAGATTAGGATAAATATATGATAAAGTGCTTGTGAGCTAAAATGTGGTATTTTATATATTAATAAAAATGAGTAAAAATTGCTAAAAGTGTGGTGGATCAACACTAAAACACATATTCCTAAAACTGTGCAAATAAAATGAAAATAAAAGTAGTGTATATGTAAATAAATTCTTAGTGATATATTATTGGTATAAATGTCTCAAAATACACTTTAATACCAAAATAAATACTGGTAGTATCAACAGTGCAAAAATTGCTAAGAAAGTGTTTTAAATAGTGCTTAAAAAGGTGCTAGAAATCATATAAAAATATTAAACTAATTTTATAGAATCATCAAAACAAAGTCCACTTTGTGCTTGCAATCTCGCTGTGCAGAAATAAATAAATGTGACGTGAAGATCTTGCTGTGCTGAGAAATATATATGCGCTCACCTCACATATAGCCAATCTGTAAAGTAAGGCTAATAACGCTTTTTGTCCTATATGGACCAAATGGTATTTTCCATGCTGAGAAGAGGTCTCCTGGATCTGACGAATAGACTGCACTGCCACCCTTCTCCCACTGGGGGTCTCTCAAGCTCCTTCCTGGCTGCACTGTGCCTCAGTGGATGGATAAGGTATTCCTCTCCTCGTCCTGCAGGGGTCTATATGCTGCCTCCACCTCTCCGTGTGTTAAGATGTCATGCAAGAAAATGTGTACATAGTGCCTTATCCTTTTTATAAAGTGCTTTTATTAAAAAGAAACAATGCGCACTCACATGTACAAAAAAACATAAATCGCTCTAAAATTGCCTCAACAATGTGCCCGAGCACACTGTCAGTACTCGCTGTGAATCCGAACTGGCGTCGGTACGTCAGAGCCCCCCCCCCCCTACGCGTTACGGCACCGGGTCACGCGTTTTCATCAGGGGAAATCGATTGGACGCCACAACACTGGTATCCTTTATATAAGGTATCCAGGCGCCATATTACCGGAGTCCGCATGTGCGTGGCCATCTTAATGGAGCCAATTATCTCTATTCAATTGTCAACAATGCATTACTCAGGTGCATTGTGACTTCTATATACAAAAAACCTCTGTGTCATATCTCTCTCCTCCATACACTCTGACCTAACGTCTCAATGGTGCCTTACAATGCAATGTCAGTACTAGTGACATTAGGTCAGAGTGTAGAAGTCACAATGCATTGTCGACAATTGAATAGAGATAACTGGCCCCGTGAGTCACAGAAATACATGCTGGGAGCGCGCAGGGCGTGCGCTCTCAGCACATATGTATTTTCAAATGGTACGCAAATATGCGGCCGCTCAGCATCAAGGGGTTAAAGTTTTATTAAACCAAGGACCCTGCATTCACTATCTCTAGTCTCCCTGGACCCTGCATTCTCTATATCTGGTCTCCCAGGACCCAGCATTCACTATATCTGGTCTCCCAAAACCCTGCATGCACTATATCTGGTCTGCCCGGACCCTGCACTCACTATAACTGGTCTCCCCGGACCCTGCATTCACTATATCTGGTCTCCCAGGACCCTGCATTCACTATATCTGCTGCTCCCCGGACCCTGAATTCTCTATATCTGATCTCCCAGGACTCTGCATTCACTATATCTGATCGCCCAAGACCCTGCATTCACTATATCTGGTCTCCCCGGACCCTGCATTCATTATATGTTGTCTCTCAGGACCCTGCATTCACTATATCTGGTCTCCCCGTACCCTGCATTCACTATGTGTGATCTCCCAGAACCCTGCATTCACTATATCTGATTGCCCAAGACCCTGCATTCACTATATCTGGTCTCCCCGGACCCTGCATTCACTATATGTTGTCTCTTAGGACCCTGCATTCACTATATCTGCTCTCCCTGGACCCTGCATTCTCTATATCTGATCTCCCAGGACCCTGCATTCACTATATTTGGTCTCCCCGAACCCTGCATTCACTATATCTGGTCTCCCCCGTACCCTGCATTCACTATATGTGATCTCCCAGGACCCTGCATTCACTATATTTGGTCTCCCAGGACCCTGCATTCACTATATCTGGTCTCCCCGTACCCTGCATTCACTATATTTGATCTCCCAGGACCCTGCATTCACTATATCTGGTCTCCCCGTACCCTGCATTCACTATATATGATCTCCCATGACCCTGCATTCACTATATTTGATCTCCCAGGACCCTGCATTCACTATATTTGGTCTCCCAGGACCCAGCATTCACTATAACTGGTCTCTCTGGACCCTGCATTCACTATATCTGGTCTCCCACAGTACACACAACATGGGCGTGCAATTATGTTAGCAAATATAAATTGCAAAATACCTTTTCTCTTCAGCAATATATATGTCTTGTGACTTCTATCAGTGTCCAGCTGAGCACTGGTTAAAGCTTGTAGGACTAGTTTTCCTTCTCCCCTTATTGTCCTATGAGGCTGCATAACCCCTGACCTCTGTCTGGACAGTGCTGATTGGCCCTGTGCTGATCACATGCACTCTCCCAAGGAAACTAAAACTCTCTAGCAATACATAGCAAACTGAGCATGTGCAGCTTTCCCCCCAAGGCTCTGTTCTATCAGCAGATAGATTGGGGACAGAATAAGGGGAGGATCAGTGAAGACAGGATCAAATATCCTTTTTATACAATGCGGATGATTAACCCCTTAGGTTCCACAGTGAGTATAACAAGCACGCTTTACTGCATATACTGCACAGACTGATATTTAGTAACACTGTAAGACTTGATGCACATAACAATGGCTATATATTAGGGAACTTAGCACTGCTTTTCTTTTTCTCTTTTACATCTGAAATAAACAGAATGAGCTTCACTGATGACAGGTTCTATTAACTGCTCTGACATGACTAGACCCATTCATTCACATTTGACAGGTGGCTTTTCCCTTTTCTAAGATGGCCGGTTCCGTGAAGGATACGTCACCACGCAGGTCTGCGGGGTCAGGCGCGGTAAAGAGGGCGGTGACAGGAAGCGGCTCGCTCGCCTATTGGCACGCAACTCTCCTTCCCGCTTCCATCATGGCGGCGCCGGGGTCAGGGGGTGGGCGGAGCGCGCTTTGTTTTTGCTCGCCTAATCAGAGGGATTCTGGAAGTTTCTGGCCGGTATCGGTGTGTGTTGAGTGAGAGTGCGGGGAGAGGGAGCTGGCACAGCCCCGGCAGGAGGCACACAGGGCTGGGGAGCAGACATGTTCGGCTGCCTGGTGGCTGGCAGGCTGGTGAGTGACAGGTGACAGCTGTGTGTGTAATGTGTCCTCTCAGGGGGAGGGGTAGTACAATACAAGTCCTTGGGGAGGACAAGGACAGTCTCAATGGTTCCCCACCAGAGATGCAAACTGCACTGGACCACACCGCTTGGTACTTGTGGTTTGGTGACCGCAGCCGGGAAGACTCATTCACACTTTCTTTGGGCTTTGAAGAGCGATCTGAACGCGAAGGTGGTGAGGAGGCGTTACATCGCCGCCAGCATTGGCACCTTGAACCAGCACAGGGCGTGTCTGTTCACAAGGGGGGCGTCATTCCTGCTGCTGTCATTTGTACACCCCAGGCCACTGCTTGTACAGCTAGAGGGGGCAGCGGTTGGGGGAGCAGCAAAAGAGCAGCTCAACCGCTTGTCTTTACCCCCCCCCCCCCCACATGTGAATAAGCCCGAAAACTCTACAAGACACTGAAAGCGGCTGGGGGGCCCTGAGCAATATTGACGTTTACTACTCCTGCACACAGGTGGAAATGCTTACCACCCTCTGAAAAGTGCCCCATGGTGGATCGCTTTTCAGAGGGTGGTATTGCAGCAGCTGGCATGTGATGATCTTGCCATCTCCTGACGCCTGTTTTTGTTTTTTTGTTTTTATTGCAGAATGGCAATTTTTGACAAATAGAAGAATGAAACGTAATTTTCCAACAGAGGAGACTGGAGTGGGGGAGGGGATGTAATGAGTGTTACTTAACAGAAAAAAGTATAACAAAACATAGCTTTATTAATACAGTAAAACACGTGAAATCATCCATGTCCATCATAGTTAATCATCCATGTCCATACAATAATCGTAATCAGAATGGTGCAGAGGTAGAGCCTAGTGCACCAACGCGTTTCGCTTACATCCAGCGCTTCATCAGGATCCAAATGTCCTCAGCTTACATGGATATGGAACAGAATAGATTTCTACAAAGAGAAAAATCTATAACAATCTCTTATATTTGACATTACAGTGCATTAATTATACAACATTGTAGTGATGCACCAACATTTCAGCTGCCGACAAAAGGGTTATTGGCATTTTGCCAATAGAAAAAAAAAAAAAGGTGCCGATAATGATTATTGATTATTCAATGCAAAATCACGTCCTATTGACTTTGATGCGAAATCGCGTCCCGTAGACTTTGATGCGAAATCGCGTCCCGTAGACTTTGATGCGAAATCGCGTCCCGTAGACTTTGATGCGAAATCGGTATTCAGTGAAACGTGGTGATGGGTTGAGCGTAGAGATGCACCGATACCTGTCTTATACTGGTGAGTAAAAGTACCAATACTTGTACTCAAGCACTTACCAATACATTTACAAAATGAATGGGCTCAAATTGCACTGCAACAAATTGCATGTGATTTTGAACAGTATTGCGGTGCGATTCCTGGCCGAATCTCTTGCGGTTTCCCTCACCACTCCTGTGTGAACCGAGGTTGAAGTCACTATGACAAGCCTGGGTTCACACAGGAGCGGTGAGGGAAACTGCATGAGATTCGGCCAGGAATCGCACCGCAATACTGTTCAAATCACATGCAATTCTGTGCAGTGCGATTTGTATGGGCGTAATTCGCACCGCAAAGGTATTGGTTTTAGGAATTGGAGCATTTGCACCAGTACAAGTACTTCTGCAAATGCTTGGTATCGGCACTCATATCGGTTCCACCCCTAGTTGAGGGTTTGTTTTTTTTTCTTCCCCACCCATGGCCCTCTATCCCCCTGCAATGTAGTAGAATTAATGTACTGTAACATCAACTATATCAGTATACTATTTATTTTTCTTTTCTTATTTTAGAAATATATTCTATTCCATATCCGTGTAAACTAAGGGCATGTGGATCCTGATGAAGCGCTGGATGTATGTGAACCGCGTTGGTCCACTAGGCTCTACATCTGTACCACTTTGATTACAACTTTTTGGATATGGATTACTTTTAACTATTTTGTGTGTTTTACTATATTAATAAAGCTATATTTGTTTTTATACTTTTTTGTACTAAGTAACACTCACCCCCCCCCCCCCCCCCCCCTCCAGTCTCCTCTGTTGGAATATTGGAGTTCTTTTTCTATTTTTTTGTCTATAATATATGTATCAGGGATGGTGTCGCGTTTTTGATAGCTACTGTCCTCCTACCCACATATAGCACAATTTTACATTGCAGGGCTGCGCCACAACTGCAAGCCAGGCATTTGGATTGCGGTTGCGGTGCGGCCCCCATTGATCTCAGTGGGCGAGATTGACAGGCAGCGCCCCAGAAAAGTTGGAATAAAACTTTGCAATCCATGTCCGATTCAACAAAACAATTTAAATGGACATAGAATGAATGAGACATACAGTCAGGTCCATAAATATTGGGACATCGACACAATTCTAACATTTTTGGCTCTATACACCACCACAATGGATTTGAAATGAAACAAACAAGATGTGCTTTAACTGCAGACTGTCAGCTTTAATTTGAGGGTATTTACATCCAAATCAGGTGAACGGTGTAGGAATTACAACAGTTTGCATATGTGCCTCCCACTTGTTAAAGGACCAAAAGTAATGGGACAGAATAATAATCATAAATCAAACTTTCACTTTTTAATACTTGGTTGCACATCCTTTGCAGTCAATTACAGCCTGAAGTGTGGAACGCATAGACATCACCAGACGCTGGGTTTCATCCCTGGTGATGCTCTGCCAGGCCTCTACTGCAACTGTCTTCAGTTGCTGCTTGTTCTTGGGGCATTTTCCCTTCAGTTTTTTCTTCAGCAAGTGAAATGCATGCTCAATCGGATTCATGTCAGGTGATTTGACTTGGCCATTGCATAACATTCCACTTCTTTCCCTTAAACTCTTTGGTTGCTTTTGCAGTATGCTTTGGGTCATTGTCCATCTGCACTGTGAAGTGGCGTCCAATGAGTTGTGAAGCATTTGGCTGAATATGAGCAGATAATATTCCCGAAACACTTCAGAATTCATCCTGCTGCTTTTGTCAGCAGTCACATCATCAATAAATACAAGAGAAGCAGTTCCATTGGCAGCCATACATGCCCACGCCATGACACTACCACCACCACGCTTCACTGATGAGGTGGTATGCTTAGGATCATGAGCAGTTCCTTTCCTTCTCCATACTCTTCTCTTCCCATCACTCTGGTACAAGTTGATCTTGGTCTCATCTGTCCATAGGATGTTGTTCCAGAACTGTGAAGGCTTTTTTAGATGTCGTTTGGCAAACTCTAATCTGGCCTTCCTGTTTTTGAGGCTCACCAATGGTTTACATCTTGTGGTGAACCCTCTGTATTCACTCTGGTGAAGTCTTCTCTTGATTGTGGACTTTGACACACATACACCTACCTCCTGGAGAGTGTTCTTGATCTGGCCAACTGTTGTGAAGGGTGTTTTCTTCACCAGGGAAAGAATACTTCGGTCATCCACCACAGTTGTTTTCCGTGGTCTTCCGGGTCTTTTGGTGTTGCTGAGCTCTCCGGTGCGTTCCTTCTTTTTAAGAATGTTCCAAACAGTTGTTTTGGCCACGCCTAATGTTTTTGCTATCTCTCTGATGGGTTTGTTTTGTTTTTTCAGCCTAATGATGGCTTGCTTCACTGATAGTGACAGCTCTTTGGATCTCATCTTGAGAGTTGACAGCAACAGATTCCAAATGCAAATAGCACGCTTGAAATGAATTCTGGACCTTTTATCTGCTCATTGTAATTGGGATAATGAGGGAATAACACACCTGGCCATGGAACAGCTGAGAAGCCAATTGTCCCATTACTTTTGGTCCCTTAACAAGTGCAAGGCACATATGCAAACTGTTGTAATTCCTACACCGTTCACCTGATTTGGATGTAAATACCCTCAAATTAAAGCTGACAGTCTGCAGTTAAAGCACATCTTGTTCGTTTCATTTCAAATCCATTGCGGTGGTGTATAGAGCCAAAAATGTTAGAATTGTGTTGATATCCCAATATTTATGGACCTGACTGTAAATGGCATGGTCGAGTGATGAGCGACAGACAATGACAATTTAATTGATCCAATTTAATTGGTTGTGTCAGGAAAAAAATCAATCATACAGGGACAGTTTTTTTTTTTTGGACGCCCATGCTTATTTACATGTTAGACCAATCCTAAGCGATTTCAGAAGGGCGTGAAAAAAAAAAAGTCATTATTTGACTTTTTTTTTTTTTTCTTCAACAACCAGTTGGCTTATGTCGATCGAAATTTGATGCTCACTGCTCAGCTATGATCATTTTTTTCTTGCAAAATCAGTGTCTGATTCTGTTGTTTTGAATTGGACTTTGACAGTTTCTGTTTTATCACATGATGTATGGCCACCATAAGGTTTACCAGATCTATGTAATATGAGGACCTACCTAATCTATCCAGTCAGGTGCTTGCACCACTGCAGTAGGTGGCAAGAACGCATACGCTACTTGGCCGCCACCAACAACTGCTGTATCCTGCAGTTTATCCAGAACGTAGGGATGTGATTAATAGAGAATTTGGGCCGGGCTGCACAGGCAGACAGACACAGCCTAATGCTATGGTACCCGCATCCACCTATAACAACATTTTAACCACATAATGCATTTTGAACTACTGGGGCCCCATGTCTGGTTATCATTGATCAGCGCAGTCACTGTGCAGGCATCTGTCAGTGTGAGGTCTGGCAAGGGGCTGTGCGATGTGTGTTGCATCCCATAGTGTACATTTTTTTTTTTTCAGCACTGTCCCCACAATCTACTTTACCCAATTCACCACAATCCACCTCATTGCAACATGCTGCGGGCAATTGAACCGCATGAAACGTCACTTCGCGGCACTTTCTAACCAAAAAAGAGGTTAGGCTGCTTTTACATTGATCAGCTTTTCTGGCGTTTTTGTGTTAAAAGAAGAAATATGTGGAATAAAGGTGCAAGACCAATAAATCCTATAGAAGTCTTCACACTGGCCACTTCCAGCTCTTTGTTTACCTGGCCATGAGCAGCCAGGAAAGCAGCCGATCAGAATGATCTGTGTCTGATTGGCTGCATTGGAGGCCAGAGAAGAGAGTTGGGGTCTAATAGATGCAGATCTCGCTATAAAGAAGACCTGTCACGATCTATGCTTTCACAAAGGATATTGTTCATCCCTTGTGAAAGCAATAAAGTTGATTAAAAAAAAAAAATTCCCCATTTTGTACTTTATTTCAGCACTGTCACCACAATCCACTTCATCCTTGTCACTGTGCGGGCATCTGTCAGTGTGAGGTCTGGCAAGGGGCTATGCGATGTATGTTGCAGCGCATCACATAGTGTACTTTTTTTGTTTTTTTTTTTAGCACTGTCCCCACAATCCACTTCATCCAATTCACCACAATCCAGTGTGAGGTCTGGCAAGGGGCTATGCGATGTATGTTGCAGCGCATCACATAGTGTACTTTTTTTGTTTTTTTTCAGCACTGTCCCCACAATCCACTTCATCCAATTCACCACAATCCACCTCATTGCAACATGCTGAGGGCAATTGAACCGCATGAAACGTCACTTCGCGGCACTTTCTAACCAAAAAAAGAGGTTATGCTGCTTTTACATTGATCAGCTTTTCTTGCGTTTTTGTGTTTAAAAGAAGAAATGTGGAAGAAAAATGCAAGACCAATAAATCCTATGGAATTCTTCATACTGGTCAGTTGCGGGTCCGTTGCTTTTTTTGCCAGGTCCTGCAAGCTGCATTTGTGGTGCAAGTTTGATGTGGTAAAAAAAAAAAAAAAAAAAACGCACCTCCCCATTGAAATAAATGGAAAACGCATTGAGTGGCAGAACTCAACAGCGGTTGCTTTTTTGGTGTTTTGTTTTTTTTTAATCACATTGTGCATTGGAAACAGCAGCATACATTCTCCTCCTGTACCACTATCCCCTCCCTCCTAGATTGTAAGCTGGAAAGAGCAGGGCCCTCGATCCCCTCATGTTTTGCATTGTATTGGTATTGTTCTGTCACATGTTCTGTCCCCCATTGTAATGTACAGCGCTGAGCGAACCATTGGCGCTTTATAAATACTGTATAATAATAAAAAATAATAATACATTATCGCATGGCCACTGCTGTGCGATGTGAAGGCAGTGGTGCGCTCTAAGGCCGTTTCACACTGCTCCGCTGTAAAAATGCATATGCATTTTTTTTTCCACATTTGACCATGGATCAGCGTGAAACCCTTACCTTCACCATTGCCTTCACATCACATAGCAGCAGCCATGCAATAATGTACGGTGCTGGAGTGAACAAGCCCTTATAGCAGTTTGTTACGTGTAAGTAGAAACCAAAGACCTCAGAAAGTACTTGAAGTGCAAAATATGCTAAATAGCTACGTTGTCCCTTTTTCCAAATGTTGCCTTCACTACTACTACTCTACCGCTTTTGGACACTTTTTTGGGGGGACTGGATACCTGGTTTTGACAGCTACCCTTTCTGCTATTTGCCCGCAGCCTTCTGCAACATGTCAAAGGTCCCAAAAGGCTGCAGAACCACACAAATGCGCAGCGGGAAGCCACAAGGAGTCACAGCCGTATTCCCGTAGGACAGGGATGTCAAACTGGCGACCCTCCAGCTGTTGCGAAACTACAAGTCCCATCATGCCTCTGTCTTTGGGAGTCATGCCTGTAACTGTCAATTTTGAAATGCCTCATGGGACTTGTAGTTTGGCAACAGCTGGAGGGCCACCAGTTTGACGCCAGTGCTTAGGACCTCTGGACGGGTAAGTGTCCTTTTATTAAGTCAACAGCTACAGTATTTGTAGCTGCTGACTTTTAATTTTTGGGGGGTGTGAAGATCCTCTTTAAACCCAACTGCAAGGGTAAATGCTAATTTTGTCCAGGCAAATAGGGATAAGTGTAATGCTTAACTTTATTCCTCAGTCCCGCAGGCTTCCCTCACACTGAAGGACCATAGAGGACGTCTATGGGGATGTTATGTGCAGGTGGGACCTGATGATGGGCTTTTTAAAATTAGAGATTGGGTTTCCAAGGCTGAAACTGAAAGTTTTCCATTTTTTAGGCTTGGAAGTAAGGCCTATTTTTCTCCCTGGGCATTGTTCTGCTTCATGAAAATCATCCTATAAGCTGTATGTTTCTTGTACACCATGATGGAGGTTCCTCCAAAGGAGGAACAAAACTGGATTTTCACCCATCAACCAGGTCTAGTGTGTAGATGACAGGTTCTCTTTAACCAAATTTTTTTTTCCTTTTCTGTCCTCAGGTGCAGACAGATGCCCAGCAAATAGCAGAAGATAAGTTTGTCTTTAACCTGCCGGACTATGAAAGCATCAACCATGTGGTGGTGTTCATGCTGGGGACCATCCCGTTCCCGGAGAGGATGGGCGGCTCCGTTTACATCTCGTATCCTGATCACAGCGGTATGCCTGTATGGCAGCTGCTTGGCTTTATTACCAATGAAAAGCCCAGTGCCATCTTCAAAATTTCTGGCTTAAAATCTGGTAAGGAAAGATTGATCTAAAGATTGAGTTCAGGTAATCTTTCTTTAACCACATGCCCGCCCATAGGACGTCCTGTGACATCCTCGGGTTGAAGTGGTTATACCAGGATGAAGCCTGCACCACCAGATATCAAAGTTTTCAGCCAGTGATTCCCTACTCAGCAAAAGTGAACAGCCACTTGATCACTTCTGTGGGCGCTACCGCCTTTCCTGAGCTCTCCCTTCTGATTGCAGAGTCCGGGACTCCTGCAACCGGCGTCAACAGCTGTACTGCGCAGAAAAAGTGTCTGTGACTCCAGAAACTGGAAGTGACGAGGATTTAGTCACGGTTTCGGCTTTTTGTTTACCTGGCCATTACCGGCCAAGAAAGCAGCCGATCGGAATGATCTGTGTCTGATCGGCTGCATAGCAGGCCAGAGAAGAGCGTCTAATAGATCCAGATCTCGCTATAAAGAAGACCTGTCATGACCCATGCTTTCACAAAGGATATTATTCATCCCTTGTGAAAGCAATAAAGTTGATAAAAAAAAAAGTTTGTTTTTTTTTCCCTTTTTGTACTTTATTTCAGCACTGCCACCACAATCCGCTTCATCCTTGTCACAATCACAATCCACCTCATTGCAACATGCTGTGGTCAATTGAACCGCATGAAACGTCACTTCACGGCACTTTCTAACCAAAAAAAAGAGGTTAGGCTGCTTTTACATTGATCAGCTTTTCTTGCGTTTTTGTGTTAAAAGAAGAAATATGTGGAAGAAAAATGCAAGACCAATAAATCATATGGAAGTTTTCACACCGGTCACTTCCAGTTTCGCTCTTTGTTTACCTGGCCATGAGCGGCCAGGAAAGCAGCCGATCAGAATGATCTGTGTCTGATCGGCTGCATTAGAGGGCAGAGAAGAGAGTTGGGGTCTAATAGATCCAGATCTTGCTATAAAGAACAACCTGTCATGACCCATGCTTTCACAAAGGATATTGTTCATCCCTTGTGAAAGCAATAAAGTTGATGAAAAAAAAAAAAATTAACGAGACCTGTATAAAAAAAGTTTCAAATAAAATAAATAATAAAAATTTAAAAGTGCCTCCTCCCCCCTTGCTTACGTGCAAACGCATACGTAAGTCCTGCAAGCATATGTAAACAGTGATTGCACCACACTTGTGAGGTATCATTGTGAACATCAGCGAGATAGCAATAATTTTAGCTTCTGTGTAACTCTACACCGGTAATCTGTAAAGGCTTTTAAAGTGTTACCTATGGAGATTTTTACGTACCGGTGCCGTTACACAGACGTACACAATTTTAAAGCGTAACATGTTGGGTATCTTTTTACTTGGAGTAACATCTGTTATTTTTAACATACAATTAGGCATTATATACAGGTGAAAGTCGAAAAATTTGAATATCGTGCAAAAATTCATTTATTTCAGTAATGCAACTTAAAAGGTGAAACTAATATATGAGATAGACTCATTACATGCAAAGCAATATAGTTCAAGCTGTGATTTGTCATCATTGTGATAATTATGGCTTACAGCTCATGAAAACCCCAAATCCACAATCTCAGAAAATGAGAATATTACATGCAATCAATAAAACAAGGATTGTACATAGAACAATACCGGACCTCTGAAAAGTATAAGCATGCATATGTACTCAGTACTTGGTTTGGGCCCCTTTTGCAGCAATTACTGCCTCAATGCGCGTGGCATGGAAGTTATCAGCCTGTGGCACTGCTGAGGTGTTATGGAAGACCAGGATGCTTCAATAGCGGCCTTCAGCTCTTCTGCATTGTTCGGTCTCATGTCTCTCATCTTTCTCTTGGCAATGCCCCATAGATTCTCTATGGGGTTCAGGTCAGGCGAGTTTGTTGGCCAATCAAGCACAGTAATCCCACGGTCATTGAACGTGGTTTTGGTGCTTTTGGCAGTGTGGGCAGGTGCCAAGTCCTGCTGGAAAATGAAGTCAGCATCCCCATAAAGCTCATCTGCGGAAGGAAGCATGAAGTGCTCCAAAATCTCCTGGTAGACGGCTGCGTTGACCCTGGACCTAATGAGGCACAGTGGACCAACACCAGCAGATGACATGGCTCCCAAAATCAACACAGACTGTGGAAACTTCACACTGGACTTCAAGCATCTTGCAGTGTGTGCCTCTCCATTCTTCCTCCATACTTGGGGTCCTTGGTTTCCAAATGAGATGCAAAAGTTGCTCTCATCAGAAAAGAGGACTTTGGACCACTGAGCAACAGACCAGGTCCGTTTTTCTTTAGCCCAGGTAAGACGCTTCTGACGTTTATTGTTCAGGAGCGGATTGACGAGGAATACGACATTTGAAGCCCATGTCCAGATCCGTCTGTGTGTGGTGGCTCTTGATGCACTGACTCCAGCCTCAGTCCACTCCTTGTGAAAGTCCCCAACACTTTTGAATGACCTTTTCCTGACAATCCTCTCCAGGCTGTGGTCCTGCCTGCTGCTTGCGCACCTTTTTTCTTCCACACAACTTTCTATTAATGTGCTTTGATACAGCACTTTGGGAACATCCAACTTCTTTTGCAATTACCTTTTGAGGCTTTCCCTCCTTATGGAGGGTGTCAATGATGGTTTTCTGCACAACTGTCAGGTCTGCAGTCTTTCCCATGATTGTGATTCCTACTGAACCAGACTGAGAGACCATTTAAAGGCTCAGGAACCCTTTGCAGGTGTTATGGCTTAATTAGCTGATTAGAGTGGGACACTTTGAGCCGAGAATATTGCACCTTTTCACAATATTCTCATTTTCTGAGATTGTGGATTTGGGGTTTTCATGAGCTGTAAGCCATAATCATCACAATTATGACAAATCACGGCTTGAACTATCTTGCTTTGCATGTAATGAGTCTATCTCATATATTAGTTTCACCTTTTAAGTTGCATTACTGAAATAAATGAACTTTTTCACGATATTCAAATTTTTTGAGTTTCACCTGTAGTGTTTGTGTGCAATAAAATTCATTGAATTGTATTTTTCGCAAACAAATTGCCATGTGACATCAAAATTGCAACACCCACTATTTTATTCTCTAGGGCCTCTACAAAAAAAATGTATGTTTGGGGGTTCTAAGTAGTTTTCTAGCAAAAAAATACTGTTTTTTTTTTTACATGTAGGGGAGAAATGTCAGAACTGGCCAGGATGGATAGGGGTTAAACCTGCACAAGGGACAGTGCAGGTAGATGACACATCTGTGTCCACTCAATTTATCCACTTTTAAGACCAGGCCTTTTATGACACTTTTTTCTTACGTGTGAAAATCAGTATTTTTTCCTAGGAAATTACCTTAAACCCCCAAACATTATTTTTTTTTTTTTTTTTAAAGCAGAGGCCCTTGAGAATAAAATGGTGAGTGTTGCAATTTTTGTCTCACGGTATTTGGGCAGCGGTTTTTCAAGCACAATATTTTTGAATAAAAAATACACTTTGATGAATTTTAATGCACAAAAACACAATATAATACCCAATTGTTTAGTAAAATATAAAAAAGACGATCTTACACTGAGTAAATAGATACCAAACATATCACGCTTTAAAATTGTGCATGCCCTTTAAAAACCTTTACAGGTTACCACTTTAGATTTACATAGCAGGTCTGGCGCTTGAATTCTTGCTCTTGATCTTCGGTTTGATACCTCACATGTGTGGTGCGATCACTATTTATGTATGCATGCGGAACCGATGCATGTTTTTACCTGTGCAACACAGGGAGATTAGGGCACTTCAGGGGAAAAAAAATATATTTTAGGATTTTTTTTTTTTTTACTTTTATTGTAATTACAGGGAATGTAAATATCATCTCCTGTTAGCAAAAGGCAGTGAGAGACCCTCTTTAACTGAGAGGCCTAATAGACTCCCTATCTCTTCCTGCTCTTAAAAGGGGCTGTTCAGGTCCCCATTCAACTCTATAGTCAGCCGGCGGAACCACCAGCTGCACACTTGGATCTCCGGTGGGACAGGAGAGTCAGGGAAGGTGGGGATAGGGGGGATGTTCCGCCACTTCTAAAAGCAATCCAGTGGCCAAATAGCACTCTATCCAAATCAGAAACTAAAACTTTTACCTAGTGTTGGACTTTAACATCTGTGTGTTTTCATTGTAGGGGAAGGCAGCCAGCACCCATTTGGAGCCATGAATTTGCCCCAGACCCCTTCGGTGGCACAGATAGGAATCTCGGTTGAACTACTTGAGCAGCTGGCACAGCAAACTCCAGTAGCCAATGCGGCAGTGTCAAATGTGGACTCGTTTACTCAGGTCAGTATGTGACTACAGAATAAACCCTGGGAAGATGTTCCATGACTATTTTGGTCTTTGTACACTCAACATCCACATTATTAGGTACACTTGTTCAATTGCTTGGTAACACACATTACTAATCAGCCAATCACATGGCAGCAACTCAGTGCAATTAGGCATCTAGATGTGGTGAAGACGACTTGCTGAAGTTCAGAAAGGGGATTTAAGTGACTTTAAACATGGCATGGTTGTTGTTGCCAGATGGGCTGGTCTGAGTATTTCAAAAACTGCTGATCTACTGGGATTTTCAAGCACAACCATCTCTAGGGTTTATAGAGAATGGTCTGAAAAAGAGAAAACTATAAGTAAGCAGCAGTTATGTGGACGAAAATGCCTTGTTGAGGTCAGAGGTCAAAGGATAATGGGCAGACTGGTTGCTGCAACATTCAGATGGTAGGATCAGAATTTGGCGTAAACAATATGAAAGCATGGATCCACCCTGCTTTATATCAACGGTTCAGGCTGGTGGAGTAATGGTGTGGGGGATATTTTCTTGGCACTAGCAAGGTGCACCTAATAAAGTGGCTGGTGAGTGTATATAATCCCTTATCAGTTCAGGAAAAATTGGAAGGTACCTTCAAAAAATGTCCATATAGAGTTTCAACTAATTTACCATCAATCACTTAAGCCTAGTACACACTATGAGAAAATCGGTCAAACGATAATCTGATTTTCCATGAAGGTGCGTATCATGATGTACCCGAGAATGGTATTATTGTACGAAGATTCTCAACTGACAAAAGCAAACGTAGCTACGTACCAGTGTGGTAGAAGAGAAAGCGATGTAGTATAGTAAATATTGGTCGTTGTGTTCACGTATGATAAACATTTTTCTAGGTTGCACCTTCTTTTTTTTTTTTTTTTCTTTTCATCCGGTCGGAATCAGCTGTTGAAAGCACTATACTAACAATCAGATAATCGGCCAATCGTTCCTTATATGGACATTTTCATCCAATTTTCCTATCGTGTGTGCAGGTCTTTAGCAAAGAGAGCAACCTTACTCCTTAGGAGATCAAAGCCAATGCATTATTTTTAAAACCTTGTTTGGTTAAGGCTCCTTTCACACTAGCAGTTCAGACCCTGTCTCCTGGAATTTGGTGGTGTCCGCACAACCTGTCAGAAGTGATTTGTGAAGATAGAAGAGGAAGGAGAGAATGGGTAGGAATCACACTGTTCTTTGGTTTGAGGCAAGTACATATTAAATGCTTGCCAACCTCATCACTTAGATGCACTGCCGTGAGAGCAAAGCGGCTCTCCTGCGCTGGATCACATACCTAGTATGACCTAGGCCTCCTGGGTAGGGGGCGTGTTCGCCGTCCCAGCTGTTCTGTGATTAGTCACAGCACAAGCCGATCAGCAGGTCCCAGCCAAAAATTGATGGCCAGGACCTGATCGGCGAAACAGAGGACAGGACAGAGCTCTGTATATGTAAACAACACAAAGCAGGGAATAAAAACTGGAACATCCTTTAGTAAAAGCAGCATATAGCACACACAAAAATCACTGCTAGGCACATAGTTAACCCTTTGATTGCCCCTAGATCTTAATCCCTTCCCAGCCAGTGTTATTAGTACAGTGCAGGGACGGACTGACAACTCATGGGGCCCCCGGGCAATAGGGGATCATGGGGCCCCTGTGTCCTTGCCCATACTCAAAAAAGCCTATGAAAAAGGTACCAGGGGCATCTCATGGGGCCCTATACTGACCCCGGGCCCTCGGGCAGTGCCCGAGTTTCCAAATGGTCAGTGCGCCACTGGTACAGTGTCAGTGTATATTATTAGCACTGATGACGGTATTAGTGTCACTGGTTCCCAAGTTAGTGTCAGACTGACCGCCATATTGTTTTGTTTTTATTAAATGTTAAGTATTTTTTTTTTTTGTTTATATAATAAAAGATTAAAAGAAAACTGTGGTGATCAAATACCTCCAAAAGAAAGCTCTATTTGTGTGAAAAAAAAATTATATCAATTTAATTTGGGCACAGTGTTGCATGACTGTGCAATTACCAGTTGAAGAAACGCAGTGCCAAATAGCAAACATTGGCCTGGTCAGGTAGGGAGTCAAATCTGGGGATGGTTATAGAGAGATATGCTTTGTTCATTTTTCAGTTCAGAGGTTTACAACCACTTGCAGCATGTTCTCTCCTCCATGGAATTATTTTTTTTACATGTCTCTTTCCCCTTCCAGTTCACTCAGAAAATGTTGGACAACTTCTATAATTTTGCCACTTCATTTGCCATATCCCAGGCACAGATGACCCCTAACCCTTCAGAAGTCTTTATACCAGCCAATGTGGTCCTCAAATGGTAAGGAGAACTTGTAAAGCCTTGATTGTTGTGTAATCATGCTGTTGATGTTGCTGGTTGGGTAGAACGTCCCAGACGCAATGGCTATGCCTGAAAGTGGAGCTATGGGCAAAATGAAAAATGACTTGTATAATACAGTCCGACACAAGCATTCTATAGAACATTTTGTAGATCCCACCCATTGATCCTGCTAATAGGCCTGTTTTTTTTTCTGCTTCCAGTAATAAGGTGACAACGCTGTTCGTTCTGCAGTGAAATCGTACAGCAGAATTATCACACTGTGAATAGGGAAGTTCTAGCTGGGCATGCAGTTTTGTGTAGAATACATTTTAAAAGAATCAATGCGGTTCTCTCGGCATTGCTATTGTCCCCCTGGTGAAGCTATGAATTAGTAGTTTTAGGGCTCTTATAGACTTGCGTTGTCTTCTGAAGAGCAACTCACAGTGGATCGTTCTTCAGAGTACGTTTGACAGGATATGAGGAGGTGTTATGTCTCCTTTGTTTTAAAGTGATATTAAAGGCTTAGCTTTTAGTTTTTCAAAATTACAAACATGTCATATTTACCTGCTCTGTCCAATGGTTTTGCACAGAGCAGCCCAGATTCTTCTCTTTCACATCCCCTGCTGGCGCTCCTGGCCCCTCCCCCCTGCTGTGCCACTTGCTATGGGGGCATTATTGCGTGTTCGCTCCCAAGCCCCATTCTGAGTGTCCAATGGCTCCTGCTGCTGTGTCTGAGCCAATGAGGAGAGAGAAAGATGGAAATGCTGCTGCTCAAGTGCTGGATCGAGATCAGGCTCAGGCAAGTATTGAGGGGGCTGGGGGGGGGGGGGGGGGGGGGGGGGGGGGCAGCACACAGAAGATGTTTTTACCTTCAGGAATAGAATGCATGAAGATAAAAACCTTCAGCCTTTACAGCCACTGTAACCCCTCAAAACCTGCACCAATGCACCACAACAGTTGAATGGGTCACGAAATTGTGCAGCGTTGCAATGCAAAGATCCACAACACATGTATACCCCCTTTCACTGCCTTTGCAGCTTAAGAGGAAGTGGTTGGAAGCGGTTGGAAGCAGTAAAAATGTGGCTTAGCTGTGAGTTTTTACCAACTCATCGACAGTAACAAAAGCCTAAAACAGTGGTCTCCAAACTACGACCCAGGGGCCAGATGCAGCCCTTTGCTTCCTTTCATTCTGCCCTTGGGGCACTTTTCCTCCCACTGATAGAAGACACTATTTCTCCCACTGACACCAACAATGGGGCATAATTCCTGCTACTGACATCAATGCAGCACTATTTCTTCTAACGACGGGCCACTATTCCTTCACTTGACATCAACGACGGGCCACTATTCCTTCACTTGACATCAATGATTGACGGGCCACTATTCCTTCACTTGACATCAACGACGGGCCACTATTCCTTCACTTGACATCAACGACGGGCCACTATTCCTTCACTTGACATCAACGACGGGCCACTATTCCTTCACTTGACATCAATGACGGGGACACCATTCCTTCACTTGACCTCAACGATGGGACACCATTCCTTTACTTGACATCAACGACTGGCCACTATTCCTTCACTTGACATCAACGACGGGACACCATTCCTTCACTTGACATCAACGACGGGACACTATTCCTTCACTTGACATCAACGACGGGACACTATTCCTTCACTTGACATCAACGACGGGACACCATTCCTTCACTTGACCTCAACGACACACCATTCCTTCACTTGACATCAACGACGGGCCACTATTCCTTCACTTGACATCAATGATGGGACACCATTCCTTCACTTGGGACGGGCCACTATTCCTTCACTTGACATCAACGACGGGCCACTATTCCTTCAATTGACATCAACGACGGGACACATTCCTTCACTTGACATCAACGATGGGACACTATTCCTTCACTTGACATCAACGATGGGACACTATTCCTTCACTTGACATCAACGATGGGACACTATTCCTTCACTTGACATCAACGACGGGACACTATTCCTTCACTTGACATCAACGACGGGACACTATTCCTTCACTTGACATCAACGACGGGACACTATTCCTTCACTTGACATCAACGACGGGACACTATTCCTTCACTTGACATCAACGACGACACTATTCCTTCACTTGACATCAACGACGGGACACTATTCCTTCACTTGACATCAACGACGGGACACTATTCCTTCACTTGACATCAACGACGGGACACTATTCCTTCACTTGACATCAACGACGGGACACCATTCCTTCACTTGACATCAACGACGGGACACTATTCCTTCACTTGACATCAACGACGGGACACTATTCCTTCACTTGACATCAACGACGGGACACTATTCCTTCACTTGACATCAACGACGGGACACCATTCCTTCACTTGACATCAACGACGGGACACCATTCCTTCACTTGACATCAACGACGGGACACCATTCCTTCACTTGACATCAACGACGGGACACTATTCCTTCACTTGACATCAACGACGGGCCACTTTCCTTCACTTGACATCAACGACGGGACACTATTCCTTCACTTGACATCAACGACGGGACACTTTCACTTGACATCAACGACGGGACACCATTCCTTCACTTGACATCAACGACGGGACACCATTCCTTCACTTGACCTCAACGACGGGACACCATTCCTTCACTTGACATCAACGACGGGACACCATTCCTTCACTTGACATCAACGACGGACACACTATTCCTTCACTTGACATCAACGACGGGCCACTATTCCTTCACTTGACATCAACGACGGGACACCATTCCTTCACTTGACATCAACGATGGGACACCATTCCTTCACTTGACATCAACGACGGGACACCATTCCTTCACTTGACACCAATGACAGGGTGCTATTCATCGCCCTAATACCAAAGATGCATTGTTTACTCCCACTGATTCCAGAACCATTACTACTTCTGATGTTCACAGTCCGGCCCCCCTAAAGTCTGAAGAACAGTAAACTGTCCTTTTGTTTAGGCCAGGGGTCTCCAAACTTTCTAAAGGATAACTAAATCAATATAATAATCTATGCAATATAATATATTGCAGCTTACGGGTCTACGCGTGATTGCTGCATTCATTTTCATTATTGAGGATAAAAATATTTTCTGCATGCACAGAAAATACCTGGTTGTTTTGCCAGAAACGCATTGTCCTTGTCACTTCCTATGAGCTGAACTGGATGCATAAAACAATCAAATCTTCCTTCTATAAACTGCTGCTCTCCCCATCCTTCATGTAATGGAGATGAAGAAAGGCAGACCTCTTTGAAGTTCAGCCTGGTCATCAACAATGGTTTCCTCCATGGATAAAGTGGGGAAATCAGTGTGGCCATGAAAGGAAAAAGTACGCGTGGAGGCGGGGAGGGCATGTAAAAAAAAAAAAAAATTAATGCAGCCACCAATCTAAGGACTGGTAAGCTGAAATATATAAGGTTATTGTTTTGGGGTTTAGAATTAAATTTGTAACATTTTGCACTTCGTCAAACGTTTTTTGGAAAAAAAAAAGAATTAGTTATTACATCAAGTGTTTTTTTTTTTTTGTTTTGTTTTCTCTTTCTTTATTCAGCACCACCTTGCATTGATTTGTTCGAATGATCTGCCTAAGACTGCAATTCAGGGCATATAGTTTAAAACGGAACTGAAGCTCTTCTGTAGCAAACAGAGCCCTAACCCAATGCATTTAGCTGTGTTTTTGCCACGTTTTAAACGTTTTTTGGCCAAAATGTTCCTGAACACGATTCTTCTGCATTCAGGAGTGGAACATTTCACTGCCCTTAACTCTGCTGCTCCTAAACTCTGGTGCAATCCTATGTATACATGGACACATAGGCTTTTATTGAGTTGAGTCCAGGGGCTTTGGCAAAAACACACCAAAACCTCCTAAACTCACGTTGCAGTGTACATGAGGCCTCAGTGTGACGCGGAAGTATGCAAATATGCGGCCTCTCTGTGGCTGGGCCTTGACACCAAGCGGCCGCATATTTGCATATCATTTGAAAACACATATGTGCTGAGAGTGTGTGCCCTGCGCCCTCCCAGCACGTATGTCAGTGTCTCACGGAAAAGTCCCGATCTCCTCTTGCGATCGGGACGGACCTTTTCCGCTCATGTTACCGCAAATCAATGCGATCACATGACCCTAAAACCGCACCCCGCCTCCTGGTATCTGAAACCTGTTTAAAGGGCCGGGAGGCGCCAGCGCGAAGAGGTTAAAATGCCCCTACCTGACTACTTGCTGTCTTCCCCAGCACTGTTATCTGAGCTGAACATGCGTAGTTCAGCTTACAGGACAGGGCTCATCTGTGAGAGCTAGGATGATGGCCTCCTGCATATGCAAAGGAGTGACATCGCCCCCTGCTGCCCAATGAAGAGCCCAAAGACCGGCACTCAGAAAAAGATGCTGACACCAGTGCAGGACCGCTGGACAGGTAAGTGAGCCTTTAGTTCTGCTTTAATTGGAATGTAAGTATAAAGCACACAAATTAAACTTTCAGACTCTTTGGCAGCAGTTACAGTGTAGCTTGGCACTTTGGCAGCAGTTACAGAAACAGTTTTTTTTTCTCTTTGATAAAAGGTTTAAACCATAAATTACCAAGCTTGTAATATTTCTCCCCCCCATCCCCCATCCCCCACTCACGACTTTACCATTAAGATCAACAGCACAACCATTGGTCCTTCCCCTCATGCCAGGGTGCTAGGTGTAATCCTAGACTCTGACCTCTCCTTTGGGCCCCACATCCAATCACTGGCTAAATCCTGCCGCCTCAACCTCCGGAACATTTCCAAAATTTGTCCCTTTCAGACCAATGACACTACAAAACAACTTATCCACGCCTCGATTACTGCAACTCCCTCCTCACTGGTCTACCGTTACACAGGCTATCCCCCCTTCAGTCTATTATGAATGGTGCTGCCAGACTCATACACCTTACCAACCGATCAGCGACTGCTGCCCCTCTCTGCCAATCCCTTCACTGGCTTCCACTAACCCAACGTATAAAATTAAAAATACTAATCGCAGCTTAAAAAGCCGTCCGTAATGCTGCCCCTAGCTATATCACCGACCTCATCCACAGATATCGCCCACTCCGCCCCTCCCATGATATCCTCCTCTCTAGCTCCCTCATCACCTCCTTCCACACTCGCCTCCAGGACTTCTCCAGAGCCTCTCCCATCCTCTGGAACTCCCTACCCCAGTATGTCCGGTCAGCCTCCACCCTGTCTGCCTTTAGGCGATCTTTGAAAATTCACTTATTCAGGGAAGCCTACCCCACCTCCACCTAAGAACTGTACTTGAATCACCTCCACCAGGTCATCCCCCAGAGCTATCACCTTTTGTATCACCTCCCCTTCCTTTAGATTGTAAGCTCCATGAGCCGGGCTCCTCCTATTCCTTCTGTACTGAAATGTATTGTAATTGTACTGTCTGTTATTGTAAAGCGCAGCGCAAACTGTTGGCGCTATATAAATCCTGTATAATAATAAATAAAAGCTGACCTTTGTCAGGCCTCATGTACACATGAACTTCCCTAGACATCAAAGCTCTACTGGCAGCAGAAAAACGCTAAACATGGCAAAAAAAAAAGTGTAAGCGCGGTACCGCATTCAGCACTTGGACGTTTATTTATTTGATTGGCCAGAGTATTTTCCAATATCATGGATAAATGCACAAGCGCTAAACACGGCTAGCGTTTAGCAACGTTTGCACACTTTTTTGGGCCAAAATGTTCCTCTCCTGAACTCGATTCTTCTGCGTTAAGGAGAGGAACATTACACTGCTCCTAAACTCTGCTGCTCCTAATCTCTGGTAAAAGCCTATGTGTACATTGACACATAGGCTTTTATTGAGTTGGGTTTAGGGGCATTGGCAAAAAAACGCCAAAGGCTCCTAAACTCACGTTGTGGTATACATGAGACCTCAATGTTTTATAATTTGCCCAACTCCTGTAACTAACTTTTTTGCTGGACAGCTGGGACTGTTAAAAGATGTGGAAAAATACTGAATCTACTGGCAGGATCAACAGGTAATAAAACAATATTAAAGGCTGTAAAGTCCCGTGACTTACATTAATCGAAAGGTTGCCCCATAGTTCCACCTTTAAAGCTGGCTATATACTGTACTAGAAGAATTTTGTTCGAAAATGATAGTTTGTTTGACTTACTAAATCGTTGGTAGGGTCAAATCGATGTTTGTTTTTGACTGTACTGATGAGAAAATTCAAAAGCACAGGATGGAAATTTTTTTCTCTAGCAAATTTTTACCAGTGAATGTGGCTTTTGTTTGGGAATGTCCATTGATTCAAAAATATGTTAAAAAACAAATGTTTTAAAATAAATTTTGGTAGTTTAACAAGCCATTGAGTGTATTGATGAGAATATGTGTACGAATGTTCACACGAATATTTAATTAGAGGAACTACTAGTGGTTGGTGGCTTAAAGCAGAACTACACTGCATCTGAGCACCACAAACCAAAAATGCTATTTACTTCATTTTTAATATTCAAAGCAAACTCACTCATCCATCCATGTCTCCATGCTTTATTTTACAGAGAAATCACTTTGAAAAACATCCCCTAGCAATTCTGGCAGTGGCCATCTTGAGTAAGGGCAGATAATTCATGTATCATTTACTTTCTGGAATCCATCTGCCCTTAGCTCAGGTATGCGGGCAGGAGGGTGTGCTTAGCTGAGAAAACCTCTCCTCCCCTCCTGAAGACTCCTGGGATGCATGACATCAAAACCAGGAAGTAACTGAAGAAATGTAAAATAAAGATTAGAACAAGTAAATATAATATACTTTCCTATCTATTTACTAATGCTAGCAGCATAAGGACTAAAAATAGTCAATGTTGATTGAGCGAATGAAGAATCACTTTCAGTCTTTCAATCTGCTTTTCTTCTTTTCATCTTGTAGGTACGAGAACTTCCAACGGCGTCTGGCACAGAACCCCTTTTTTTGGAAGACGTAGAGCGGCTGCCTTCTTAATCGGAAATCTACATTTTGTGCCTCTTTAACACTTTCTTTGCTGGACCCCCACCCTGCTTCCCTTTTTTGTTTCTCTAGCAAGGAGTGTTTCTGAATGCCAGGCACAGTAGTATCTGTGCTTCACACAGAGCTCATTGGATGACTACAATCTCGGGGGGTCTGATAAGCTGCCTTTTTTTTTTTGTTTTTTTTTTTGTTTTTAGGGGTCTGAAAGCTTTTCTCCGTCAGCCCCCTCAAGTAGTTTCGCTCGCCCCTCTTCAGATGTATGCTTTTTTTTTTTTTTTCAATAAGTATCTTACTAAACCTGTTTTAAGGTTACCTTTACTACATGATTGCTTATACGTCTTCGACTGCTATGGAATTATTTGCTCTGAGAACAGATTTTGGTTTTTTTGTAGATGAGCATGTCAACTTTTGTTTGAATTTCAGTGACCAAATATCTTAATCCATCACCAACTGAAGAGTAAGCAAAAATGGTTGTTAAACCCTATTTTCATTTTCAATGATTAATCCTTCCATCATTCATCAGTGGATTAGTAAAGGTACTTAATGAAATAATTAAAGGTGCTGGATCTCAAAGTTTTTTTTTTTTTTTTTTTTTTTTACTGTGATAAGTTCAGATGAGAATTGTGTTTGCTACTTTCTTTAAGCGTAAAACGAGTGACTTCTTCACATTAACAAAAAAAAACAAAAGCTGCTGATATGCATGAAGTATGAGCTGCTAGAGGTGCGTGAACATACCTGCAGCAGCTCTTTATGCCATCCCTCTGGCTGAATGTTGGGCCATTCTGATTGGGCAGAGCCACATTAAAGTGGACCTGAACTGAAAAAGTACAGATTGGCCATCTTATAGGGAACATCTAGAAATGTTAATTGTGCCTGAGCGGTAACCTGAAAATCTACTTTTTGTCTTAAATTCCTCTTGAAAAGTTAGCTGAACACTTTCTTGTATGTGAGTGTGCCTAGGCACTCCTGTCCCATTTAGCCTATAGCTGTACTGTGTATCTGCAGTGTGAGATCTAAGGCACTGCTGCCTATGAATGCTAGTCTCAGGAGATCTGGAGTGGGATTTGGTGATGTGATTACAGTGCTGCTCACTATTCTCCTTGCTGGAGGATTTGAGATAAGAAAGGAAAGCCCTGCCTCTACCAAGATGGCCGCCTCCACTCAGACATTCCAGAACAAAGATTGGGGAGAGATCAACTGTAGGGAGATCACAGGAAATGCTGTTGATTAGTTCTTTGCATTCTACCTGCCTTTTTTTTTTTTTTAGCAATGCTTACAGAGTTCAGTTATTCTTTAAAATAGTTCTAAAGTCAAAATATTTTTTACCTCAATGCATTCTCTGCATTTAGGTAAAAAAAATGTCCCATTACTTGTTCTACTCATCCCTAAACCTTTTACTTGACATCTGTCAGTGCTCCAGCGCTGTCTTGGCTGCAGCACCTCTACCTTCGCATCCTGCTTTCATGAGAGACACTGAGGGCAGCGGGAGCCATGGTCAAACTCCTGTGAGGAGGGAGCATAGCTTACCGGCACTGTGTGTTTCGGTGGACACACACAGCCCAGCTCAGGAGCACGCACGTGGCTGTTTCCTTAACACGTGGCTTTTTAAGGAAGCACCTGCAGGAGGGGAAATGGATGGAGTTGGCTGGGGGCTGACAGTCTTTAGTTTCACTTTAAGTCTCTGAGCTTTGCTCATCAGAACAGCCCCTCATTGAGGCAGAAGAAGGCACTGTTTTCAGGTGCAGTATATACAGGCAACACTATATATTTATCAGCAGCTTTTTTTTTTTTGTAATAATAAGTCTCTTTAAAGAGAGACTATAGTGTATTTTTACTACATTTAGTTCTATTGTTATAACGTTTACATCATTTTTGTTGTGACTTTTACATTTTTACTTGATTGCTCTTTCATATTATGATTGAGTTTTATAAATATTTACACATGTAAATGCTCTCTCTATTCACGTGTATATGTGATGAGCCACCTGTTACAAGCTTGGTTGAATACCCTCTTTTTATTTTAATTTTCATGTTGGCACTATTATAAAGGTAAATAGCTGCCTGCATAAATGGCTAGCTGCATACTAGTTTCAGGGCAGTCCCCTCAACTCATAGCAATGCTGAACAAAAGCTTTATTGCCCTGGAATCATCATAAAGCTTTAGATTCAGACAATGACTGCCTCTTTCAGAAAGGTATTTAGCTTGACAACGGATTCCCTTTAAAGCAATCCCAATATGGTCTAAAAATTAATAACGTGGCATCAGTGCTGAAACCTTGTGGTACCTACAAATACCTATATAGCCTTTTGAATCAATACCTGTGTGTGGAGCCACTAAGATCTCTGGCCTGTGCCTTGCACAGGGTGTTGACTGCTGCCAAGATCAAAGGTAAACAGTTATTAAATGTATGCAGGAATTTGAATATTCAATCTTCTAGGAATACTATAATGGCTTTGGGTCAATTATAAATTACATTTATAACATGACAAAGGATTCCCAGAGTGTTCCTCACACCAGAAAAATCTCCTTTCCAGCTGTCTGTGTCAACGTAAAACTTTTGAACTTCTTTAAAATGTTGAGTTACACTCTGATAACTTTTTCAGGTGACACTATTGTAAATAGTGCGGTCTGGCGGGATCACCACTGTGCTGATGCGCCTGTCTTGCTGCATCGCACCATTCACTTTTTTTTTAACAATCTTTATTGAAATGTCACACACACACACATTTCATTACGTTCACTTGGCCTCCATGTGGTGCAAGGTACTTTTTTGTTTCAACGCCCCCTGCCTGTGCATCACCGTGGTGTAAACCAGGCACGTGGGAGACAAGACATTTTGCCTTGTCATGTGTTGGAACTGCACTGGAATATCCGCCCAACGCAGCCCCACTGCACCGGGTGCGAATAAATCCTGATCGCTGCTATACTTCGGAGTGAAGAACAGGTTCTAACATAGAAGGAACTGGCTTGTAGCACAAGGAACTTGGAACTTGGCTGGTAGCACAGTGGCAGGAGAGCGTTGGGAGGCAATTAGCTTCTCATCTCCCTCCCTCCACTTCTGGCTGCTCTCCAGAGTCCACATGGACTTCTTTCAGCATGCTGCTTGGAAGTTGACCGGTTCAGAGAGGTATGCTGATAGCGGAGGCATCATGGACCAGTCAAAGGGCCGAGCAGGGGCGGACTGACAACTCATGGGGCCCCCGGGCAATAGGGGATCATGGGGCCCCTGTGTCCTTGCCCAAACTCAAAAAAAAGCCTATGAAAAAGGTACCAGGGGCATCTCATGGGGCCCCTACTGACCTCGGGCAGTGCCCAAGTTTCCAAATGGTCAGTCCGCCCCTGGGGCCCAATATGGTCCGCAGGCCACAGTTTGCTTAGGTCTGCTCCAACCTCTTGTTCCAGTGGCAAATAGGAAAGCGTGTCAAACCTATAATATTACGTTTGACCCCAAGATTTACCAGGATACATGGAGAGGGTGAATCGTCTTAGCTGTCCGGCAATTCTAATCCTAAACGCTGGCTATGGACACAGTTTAATCACTTCAGTTCTTACTCCCCTGATGGACCAGAGCAATTTTTACATTTCCACTATGGTCACCCCTTTTATCTTATATGAATGAAACAAATGTATCCATAATATGGATGTACTGTATTTCTTAATTCATCTTCTGGTCAATGTTAGACACCTTTCAGATAGGTGATCTGATCAGTTCCACTTGTCAATTTTTTTAGGTGGACCTGATTTGAAAGTCCATGCATCCCTATGGACAGGCGGTAAACTGACTTGTATCTACCTCCGGGTCTGGTCCGGTCTGCCAAAAAAAAAAACAGAAGGAGATCAGTCCCCTTCCGTTTAGGTGGATTGGATTACAGGGTAGTCAGGTGTAACAGAGAAGTCCGTTTACACCCGGCCTCCTATAGAGCAGGCTCTGTCCGTCCACTGTGCATAAACTGAGCGAACACAGATGTGTCATCCACTCGCGCTACTCCAGTCTGCAGGGGATCTGTGACCTGATCGGAACAGAATCCACCCTGTTTGAAAGGGGCCTCCAAAAGCTCCATTTTACACAACATTGGATGCCGATGCTGTGTAGGAGAACAAGTCCCTGCTGTCAAAATGACTTGCTGGTAAATGTGGCAAAGGGAATGGCAGCCGGAGAGAGGGACAGGACGTGCAACATATGCCCTGTGTATTTGGATGACTTTTTTTTTGGGTGTACATCAAACATCTAGTCGAGCATACTGTATATTCACTTTCTTGTATAAGGAAAATCATAATTGATTATCTTTAGTTGACAAATGGCAGAATCTCTGTTGCCAACTGAAGTGCTGGCATTTCATATTTCATTGACAAATCTCACTAATGGATTTTTTTTAAAAAGTCAAACTGTGTACAAGGCAGGATCTGTGTACAGCCATAGGGCTGTGTAATATTAGATTGCCACTACAAGAAAAAACAAACTTGTACAACCTGCGTATGTATTGGACAAACATGGCTGTCCACCATTTACATAATATCAAGATATGTTTAGAGACAAGGTTTTAAAATCATTAAAACAGATTTATAAGATTTACATCCAGCCAGTTACTTTTGCATACACATTAAAAAAAAAAGCCTATCGTTTCTCTTTAACTGTGTGTATAATTTTCCAGCAGTTACTCGCATTGCTGTTTTCTTGCTCTTCTGTAATTTATTTGCTGCTGACTTGCTTCTGAGATAGAAACTGAGGTATTACGCGGCCAATTATTGTATATATGAGAAACTATCTGCCAGTTTTGTTTTGTTTTTTTTATTTTCTAAAGTAAGGCCAAATATACAAAACCATTTTTGAAGTTTTGGTAATGCTGTTTTTGATATTTTATTGCTGATTTGAAAAGAAAATGGTGGTTTACGGCATACAGTATTTTTTTTTATTTTTTAACCTAAACATTTTCTCAAGTTGAGCTTCACTATTTTATGCTTTAAATAAAATGTAT